AGTAACAAGTGTAATACAAAAGGTGTATCAAATTCCATCAAGATGTTTGGAGACGAAAAGAAGTTCCTGTCATGTGAAGGAACTGAAGTGTGTGTATCTGTACATTGTCTGTGTGTATATACACACACACACACACACACACATATAGATATACATATAAGGAAGCTTTATGGCTTTATATACATATGCAGATAGAAGCCCCTAATATCTATGCTGATTAATATTACTTGGCAAAAAATGACTGAACAAGAAATAATGATATAGGACTATGTATTTTCTATGCTAATAAGAGATTAATTTGCTGGGTTTTTTTAATAGAATTAAACAGATGTTCTCTTGATGAACACCATCTGTAAAGTACTACTTTGAGAGACTGCTTACTTAGTATTTTCTTTATATTGTAATCTATATGTATATTTTTATAAGGTATTTAATTTATAATATGTTAGAATATACTTTTAAAAAAACCTTCTGGTAGTTTACTTTATATATTTCTTTTTAAAGGAAAGATAGAATTTGATAGGTGGAACATAATAAATATTATTTTTAGTCCTCTCAGAAGTTCAGAGTTGTGAGGAATTAAAATATAATATGGAATACCTGTACAAGAAAAGCTTTTCTGTAGAACAGGTTGTTCAATATAGTTTGCCTATTTTTTTTTTTAACTTTAAATCAGAAGTTATAGATACCACTCTGTTGTTCTTTCTGGTATTCATTGCTACAGTGTCTCCCAGATATGTCTGAGTTTGTCACATCTGCTGATAAATAAAGTAAAGTATTAACAAAGATCCTGTGAATTAGCCTCAATCATATTCTAAATGAATGTCTTTGTGTCTTTCTGTTATATAATACAGTGTTCACTGCAGGTCAGTTTGTCTAGAACTTACTTATAATAATAACAATATTGTGACTTGCTTGTAGCTGTTTATGTCCAGTGTGAATTACTTCTTTCTGCTCACAAGACATTATTCAGACAGTAGCAAGTATAGAGTAACATTGACTTTTAAGACCAATTGCTTTTCTGCTGGGGGAGAAAATTTAGCCTTGGGTAAAACTGTTACATTTGTGTGCAGCCTGTAATTAGTATTGTAGTTGGGTAAAGCTTGATACAGTTGAGCTCTGCAAAACCTTATTCAATTTTCTGATCTCAGAAGTCTTTTTGATGAATGAATCCTCAAAGAAACACGCAGTAAGAGTACTTTAGAAAGTTCTCAAAGAATTTTCAGATCTGTTTTGAATTTTTTAAAGTAAAGGTGAATTTGTATGGGAATTAAGATGATTAGCAAGTTGCACCACAAACCTGCAGGAGAAACAAAAGGAGTGATATAAGCTGTCATAAACCTTTTACATTTCTTTTAGGGAGAGCATGTTGCTGCACTTTGCCTAATTAAATGGCATTTCTCATAAGGGGTGTGATATGGCATGACTAACATGCAGAGATGCACTTGCAAGGTGAAAAATATAGAATGGATTGCGTGTGTTCACTAATCAGTTAAAAATTTGCAGTCTTCCAAGCTGTGTGTAACTTGGAGCTGTGTCTGACATTGTTGGAAGATAGTTAAAATTCATAGTTGTGTTTGGTGAATGCAACATAACAGCAAATTTCACTGCTCTGTGGGAAGACAGCTTCTGTTTTAGATTGAAAAATTAAATCTGGAATCTAATCAAGAAGTTCACGGTATTTTTTTTTCTTCCATTTCTGCACTATAACTTCAGTGTGGATATTAACTGAATGTTGTGAGAAGCCCTACCGTGTTGGTTATGAGGGCTAACATCTATTTCATAGAATCATGGAATAGTTTGAATTGGAGGTCATCTAGTCCACCCCTCCAGGGATATCTTCAACTAGATCGGGTTGCTCAGAGCCCCATCCAGCCCAGCTTTGAATGTTTCTAGGGATGGGACATGCACAACTTCTCTGGGCAATCTGTGCTAGTGTTTTACCACACTCGTCATAAAAAACCACTTTCTTATATCTAATCTAAATTGACCCTCCTTCAGTTTTCAAAACCATTACCCCTTGTTCTATCACAACAGGCCCTGCTAAAAAGTTTGTTTTTCTTATAGGCCTTCAAGTACTGTAAAGCCACAATAAAGGTCTCAACGGAGCTTTCGCTTTTCCAGGCTGAGCTACCCCAGCTTTCCTTATAGGAGAGGTACTCTAATCATCTTGGTGTCCCTCCTCTGGACTTGCTGCAGCAGCTCTATGTCTCTCCTGTGCTGGGGACCCAGGGCTGGATGCAGCACTCCAGGTGAGGTCTCACCAGGGCAGAGCAGAGAGGCAGAATCACCTCCCTCGAACTGCTGGCCCTCCCCCTTGCCTTCTTTGCTGCAAGGCCACATTACTGGCTCATGTCCAACTGGGTATTCATTAGGACTCCTAGCTACTTCTCTGCCAAGCTGCTTTCCAGCTGGGTAGCCCCCAGAATGTACTGATGCTTGGGGTTTTTCCTACTGACCATCGTGAGGTTCCTGTCAGTCCATTTCTCCAACTGTCGAGGTCTCTGGATGGTAGCAAGAATTTCTGGTGTATCAGCTGCTCCTCCCCATTTGGTGTCATCCGCAAACTTGATGGGGCTCAATTCTGACCCATCTTCCAGATCATTAATTAAGATGTTGAAGGGGATAAGATCCAATACTGATCCCTGGAGTACACAGCCAGTTACTGGCATCAAACTCAGCTTTGTGCCACTGATCACCACCTTTGAACCTGGCTGTTCAACCTGTTTTCAATTCACTTTGTCTGCTCCTCCAGCCTATATGTCATCAGCTTCTCTGTGAGGATGTCAAGCATCAGATGCTTTTCTGAACAAGTTATCTTCTTTCTATCAACTTTGAAAAAATAAGTGTGTCCAAGAATTGACCTTGCATCTCCCCGGTTTGATATTCAGACTCACATAGTCTCGTTATTTCTCAATTTTCTTGTATACGTATAACTGGGGTATCATTAACTGTCACTAAAATTCATCTTAAAGAGGAATGCAGTTTTTATGAAACACTTGAATGCATGGAGAGTAACAGGAAATGCTCATGGGGAAATACCAGACTTCTTGAGTGCAGCATGTGGAACATATGCAGTAAGTAAAATCCTGAATACAAAGCCTGTAGAAGATATCAAGAATAATGACCTGTTTCTTCAATGAGACAGGAATCTGCAGTTGCAGGATTACATAATCCTGCAGGACTGTATCATATGGACTCTAGAAGAGAACCTCAAGTTTCCTGACTTCTCAAGTGCTTTTATTTTAGGATATTTATTAGTATTTCTTCACTTGTATTTATCAGCATAGCTTTTCTCCTTGCAAAAGGAAGTCTTTGTGATGCCTCGATTAAAACCAACATAAATATTTTATGTAAACTGTTAGGAGTAGAAGCTGGTGTCTGTTTTCTTCTGTCTGAAGGTGTGTACCTAATCTACTAATGTATTATGTGTGTTTCTTGTCCTAACAAAGTATGTATTACTTCTGTAGATAGCATTTGAAGTTATGAAAGCTACAGATAGAGGTACTTCTGTAATTCTGTTTATTCTAGACCAATTGCACTGTTTTTCTTAAAATATCTCAGGAAAATATTAATTCCAAACTTTAAGAATTCTACATTATATCATACTCCTGATATCTACAGTCCACTACATAGTACTTGTCTTAATTTTTTTTCTTGATGAAATTATTTGGTATAATTATGAGACAACTATTGTGTAATTGTGTTGAATTCTTACTACAAACACCCAATATCATACTGTTTCTGGATTATTAATATTAATGAAAACAGAAAATGAACTATTTCTAAAACAGGCACTCTAAACCTTCCCTCCCCCCTCCCCCCCAAGTTAAATAACAAGTGTGGTTTAATGTAGCTACTGATATTTAAGGTAATCTGAAATTTCAAAGTTGGATGTTTGAAAATATTAAATGGTCTATATCTAGCACAATTCTCAATTAAAGGTTAAACTACAGGTGTTGAGTAGCAACTTTCAGATGGAAGAATAATTTCTAAGACCTTAGAATTTCTTAATGTTAGCTTTTTTTTTTCAAAATATTGATTTGGAAAAGAAAGGAGAATCATGTTCCAAGGTCTTCCTGAGGTGTCCCTCACCATTTCACCTAAATCCAGCCCTGGTTACGATTTTTGTTGTATGGGTATTTTTATCCTAACTGGGTTTTTAATGTATATATGACCTGCTGTACAGATTGCACATTAGTCTTGTGAACATGAAACTGAGACTGTACAGTTCATACATAAAGCCCTAGAGGATTAGTTAAGTTCCTGTTGGCATTCACCACCCTTTTTGACTTCAAAGAATATCTGGCAGATTTTGTGAGGTGTATTGGCAAGTCAGTTCTCACTGGTGGACTGTTGTACTGAGAAAACAATATGTGAAATTTCTTTTTATAATACATATAACACACAGGGTGGTACTTATCTGTGTTTTTTCTTACATTTCCTGAGGATCATCTTAACAGAAGACATAAAGGCATCCTGTTCCTTTTTCACTCAGATATGTTTTAATGTGTATTTGAAAATTAATTGCCTTTTCCACTTCCTTTGAAAACAGCAGCAAGGGGATTTGTAGTACTGAATTTCAAATGTATAGAAATACATTCAATGGAAATTATGTTTTATGTATAATTTGCCAAACTTCTATACTCATACAGACGTAAATTAACTCTGAACTAAAAAAAAAAAAAAAAAGCTTAACAGATTAATTTTATCTTTTTACAGTGGCACTTAAAATTATAATTCCTATGCTTTATTTAGTGAATGACAATAGGATTTGTATGGTTGTACTGCTTTCTTTATAAAAAAAAATTCTGTACTTGCATAGAATAAACATTACAAAATAATCCTCGGGCACAATAAAGGTGTAATTACAGACTCCGATTATGTAACATTCACTAGAAATAATTGGAGATTAAACTCTATTTAAAAGGTAGTTTATTCAATGGAGAAATATTTATGTTTTTTAATTGAAAAGCTTTTTTTCCCCATTTTCCTTCCAGGTATTGCTTTGTTTTTGCTTTGGGATACCTCACTGTGTGCCAAATTACTAGAGTCTATATCTTTGACTATGGACAGTATTCTGCGGATTTTTCTGGGTAAGGAGAAAAATAATCTTTCCATCTTGTCCTCCTAAGTGATACTGTATCTGTTGTTGTGGGGGTTTTTTTGTTGTTTGCTCCCCCACATCCCTCCCATGTGTGTCAGCCTTTTAAACTTGGGGAGAAAGCTGAGCATGTATGTCCATATTGACAGGCATACGTGCTTTAATCATAAAACCTGAGAAATTTTGTGTCTTGTTAGAACTACCCATGTGTTACCTGTTGCCTCCTGTTCCTGTCTGAATGGCATAAAGGATTTGATGGCTATGGGAATTTTTTCTCTTCTCTTTTTTCCCTAAAGTCTCTGTCTGCTACCACCCATGACAGCATGATGAACCTTGAATTGTGTCTGGCTTACTTGCTTGCCTGGCACAGTCTGATACAACTTTTTGAAGAAAATCTGAATGGTTTATGGAACTTAGCTTTTAACTTCTTTTGGTTCTGGTTTTATGTTAGATATTTAAGAAGGAGAAAGCTAAGGAGGCAGGCACCTGGATGATAAGGTACTCACACAGCCCTTGGAAACAGAAAGTTTTGTTTCTATGTGCCCTCATTTTATATAATGAACTTCTACCTATATTTGACTTAGACTGTATAGGAGCAAAACAGAACCAAATGGGCAAAGTAAAAATAAACCATATTGGTGATTCTTTGTGCTGCAGACACAGAGAAGTGAAGCACAACATTTCTTATAAACAAATTTGCTATTATGATAGTGCTTTTGTTGGTTTAAAGGAGAGTGTGTATTCTGGGGGGAAAAAAGAGGTGGGGAGTATTTGCTACTGCTAAAAATAGTGCATTAAATACTTTTCAGGAATATTATGAATGGCAGTGGTCTTTGTAGTTTAGTATTACCTGTAGTAGAGTTGTACTTGTTAGCCTTGTTGCTTCTCAGTCTTCATAAGTAACGGGCACATAGTCCAGAAACTTAACTTGGAGGCTGAAGCCAAAAGCCTTTATGGTTAAGTTCATCTTTTCTGTCATCTTTATCTTCTTACCTTCTGAAACATCTTTCTACATTTGTCTTACATCCAAGTGTCTGCCTTCAAGCCAGATATCCAAGTTCTAATTGTAGTCAGCAGAGATGTGATCGATGTGGACAGTAGAGTCTGGAGGGCATTTCAGCTGACCCACTACTAAGTATCTACCTGAGCATGAACTGGGTCACTCATCAGATGCCCCTGACTATTGACTAGATCTCCATGGGCTGTAATGAGAGCTTGCAACACAGACAGACGTGTAAATTCACTGAAACTAGATTTACTGATGTTGAATTTATTTCACCATTACAAGTTGAACTGTAATCCAAATGCTATCCCTTCCAGTTCACTGTAGAGCCAAAGTGTACAACATTGGCAGTGATCAAAGCTCTGAGCTGACTCTGGAAATGGTGTAATTGCACTTTGTTGTTGTTCTCTCAAAACTATTAGTAGAGCTTGAGTGCACCGTTTCTCAGACGCAACTGTAACTGCTTTCAGATAGCAGCTGGCTTTGTGACTCTGCTGGTTTTGTGTTAGCTCAGAGATTTCTGCTGGGTCTAAACATGTCCAAAGATTCTCACATCCCATTCCTGGAGGTGTTCAAGGCCAAGTTGGATGGAGCTCTGAGTAACATGGTCTAGTTAAAGATGTCCCTGCCCATGGCAGGGGAGTTGGAACTAGATGATCTTCAAGGTCCGCTTCCAACCCAAACCATTCTATAATACTATGATTTATGAGCTCTGTGCTCTGGACAGAACTGTTCTGAAGCCTAGATCCAACTGTCTGATTGTATGTTTGAGTTGTCAGATTTAAACCACCCTTTCATGCACCAGTTTGGGAGTTGGATGCACATCACATTAAATCTCTGGCATACAGTGCTTATGCTCCCTTGACACCTGAGACAGAGGTTACTTCCAAAACAGGCAGAGAAAGAAAACTTTCCCTAGTTCCAGGGTAAGAGAGTAAGCTCAAGAAAATAACTAAATTTGCCCAACCAGCTGTTGAACCCCAGCATCAGCAAGTTCTTCTAAACATGTTGGCAAGGATTCCTATGGTGGTTAACCCCAAAGGAGCTCTGAATATCTGTTTACCTAGCTATTTCTCCTAATATGCCATGCCCATCTAAGGTGTCCAAGCTGAGAAAATCTGGGAAAAGTTTAAAGGAAAGTCTCAATGCACTGACAATGGAGAAAGCTGAGGAGACCTTGTACTGGAGATGCAATTGCTTGTGCAGAGCTGTGTGGGCCTGGCTGCAGTACTACCAATGAGCCTTCTGCTGCCTCCTTTCTCTTTCTCCCAGCACCTAAAAGGGGTTGTTAAAATCCTGGTTCACAGCCTCACTGTGCCAGGAAGGACTCTTCCTCTTCTAGTCTCTAGATTGTTGCTCCTCAGCCAAATCTTTGATGATACTGGAAGAGCCACTTCAGAAGGCAAAAAAAAACCAAACTGGTGCCTGCTGTGACAACAATGACAGACATATCAGCTGGAATTAGTGTAAGGGCCGACTGGGCTCCTCCTGGGCTCCATCCTTCCACCAGGCAGGATCCATGCTGTCACATGTCTGCTTAATGGGAAAACTCATTATGTTCAGAATCACTTGGGGATTTCTGCCAGCACCAGGCAGGTCTTCAGCTGAAATGCTGGAAAGACATATGAAGGAGTTACCAGACTATCTTGCTTAGTTCTCTTCCTTGATGACCCTTGCTTGTCACTCTAGTCTTCATATCAGGATTTTGGGGCACTGATAATAACAGTAGAATTTTTTTTCCCCAATTGCATTTTGAGGACTGGAAATAATTGTGTGTTTTGAAATAACCATTACTTAAAAAAAAATTAATTTGACAAAATTAATCTGGAAAAATACTGGTGTAGCCCTGTCAATGAAGGAGAACTTGATGGCTTTTGGATTTGTTTTCCTGTGCCAACTTAAATGTGTTATAAAAATGCTAAGTGCACTCAAAACTTGAACAAAACTAATGCCCAATTTACAGTATGATTATTTTGTTGTGCTTTTTTTTGTTTGTTGAGGGTTTTTTGTTGAGTTTTGGTTTTGTGGTTTGGTTGTTTTGTTTTTTTTCGTCCAGCTCACTACTGGGTAAATATAACTCTGATACATTTTTTGAGATCTGATTTCAAAGTTAAATTTCTAAATTCTAGTAGCTTACTTTGTGCAGTCCTCTGTTCTTTCCCTCCCCCAGATTGAGGGTTTTCAATATTGAGATTTACATCATTCAAAAACTCTTAAATACTACGAAGATGGTATAATTTCTCAGTACAAAGCTGAGTTGGATAGCCAGGGAAGAATATTTCTTGGATAGTTTATGATTCACCCAAGTGTACCAAATTCAGAACAAAGGGAACTCTGTTGGAGCCAGCATAATTATACTGGGTTTTTGTTTTGCCAGATATGTTTACTTGAAGCAAATAATAATTCTAGATGGAAAAATTAAGTATAGGACCAAGCGTTAGTAGAAACACTGGAAGTGGTCAGCATACCTAAACAATTTATTTTAATGTTCAACTTTAGTATAATTTTATTGTGTTTTTTTACTGCTGCAGTAACTTGCAATGAATATAATTGCTTTTATTGCCCTTTTTCCTTTACTCTTCTTATGGTAAAAAACAGAAACTACGTTAGTAGAAAATACATGTGAAACACTAGCTGTGTTTGTGGAATCTCATGAAGCAATAAAAGGTGTGAATTATCCAATACTGCATTTAAGGCTTAAATTCTTTTCATTGCATTGAAAACTCTATAATGGTTTGAGCTCAAAAAAATTATTCACTTTGTTCTTGCATTGCAGATCTTCCAGTTTAGAGTAATTAGGCTGGACTACTAGTATAAACTTTCCCTGGTATTTCCATGTGAAAGAAAATCCTGAACTTCTATCTAAATTATTCTTTCTTCCTTTTTTTAAACAGTCCAATGATGATAATTACACAGAAGATCACTAGTTTGGCATTTGAGATTCATGACGGTAAGATTTCTTTACTGTGTTTAATTTTCCATACAAAATAAATTTAAGGAATGTTTGTCATGAGTCAGTGAGTTACTTTAGTCCAGTTTCGTGTTTTAGGTCAAAACATATTTTTCTGTCTCAATTACTTCTTTTGATGCTTACTAATGAAAGTGCTGAGGAGTGTTGCTCAGACTCTACAGAAGCTCTAAAAATGCTGACACTGTGCAGAAGACATGACTTATCAGAAGACCAGTGACACTTCTGGAGTCAGTGACCAAAGACCAGTGACATTCTTTTGGGCTGGATTATTGATCCTGATAGTTAGCTAAGGAATTTCCCAATTCAGAGATCTCTGCTGCTGACAGATAGGTAGAAGAAGCACATGTAATTTCTGTTGTTGAGCATCTTTTGTTTTAAAATGCTAACTGTTGAGCTCTTCCCTAGTTTGTGCCATATATACAGATTTTTATAAAGCCTTTGTATATGTTTCATTTTGTTTACTATCATAATTACACTCACTGCTAACATATTGCTGTGAACAGGGAGATTATCTAATTATGCTTATGTCTTTTCTCCTGTTAGATTTATCCATCAGATAAGTGGGCCTTAGTTGTGACAATGAATCCTAATGTCGGCTTTTGTGGGTAGGGTAGCTAGATGTTTAGTTACCTTTAAATTCAAAGGAGTAATTTTCATTTTAAAGTTTAAAATGCCATCTAATAAATGTGTCCAATTAGATTGAATCACTTGGAGCTACAGCTGTCAGTTGAAGATTTGGGAGTGTAGCCCCAGACACCTGGATCAAGCCACCTGCTGTCCTGAAATTCCTTTAGTAACATTATGTAATTGAGTTTAATATGTTTTTGTCTCACGTGTCCTACCTTTAGTGCTGTTGGTGTTTCATTTTTTTTCCATTCTTGTTAATTTGCACTGGCTAGAGAAGCCTGTAGGCAGCAGCATTCAGGAATATGAAAAAGCAGGAAAACACCTTTTTGTAAGTATTTTTTGTATGAATGAAAATGAGTAATGCTAGGCATATCTAGTCAGTCAAAAAAGTTGATATCTAACTTCCAGAGAAAATATATTCAGAAGTATTAGTCTTGCAATCTATAATTAATTGGACTACAGAGTACACAAGTTAGAGGAAACAGGTTATTATAAGGAAGTAATAGTTCTAGTACCAAAGATACATGCTGCTTCTTAGTAGAAAGAAGTATTCTGAATTTGCTGACATCATGCACAAATAGTGGAGTGGTGGTATGGAACAAGCATGTGAGTGTTCCTGGCAATCTTGAAACAAATGTTTCATTTAGTCGTCTCTATTATTAACTTTCAAAATTAATTAGAAGAGATTTTTTTCCTATTTAAATTAGTTCAAATAATTTGTGTTTTCCTCATAAGCTTATTTTCTGTCTGGATTTCTTGTAGATACTATTGAATTCTGAGTATCAATCTTGAAATTTTGTTCCTTGTTGACTTCTAAAGTCTTTGTCAGCCTATGAGGAGTAGCTGGTAGTATATTGAAAACTTTCTCTCTGGTTGTGTCTGCAATTTAGCAGAATCCTTGACTTGAGTTGGATGATCACAGTTGCAATGTGAACACGACTTTCAAAAGTTGATGTGACCAATGTGAATTCAGGAGCAACTGCTAGTCTGTGTCAGGAGGTAGTAAGAAAAGATGTACAGGGGAAACTAAGATTGCATTGAAGCAAAGTTTTTTAACTACAGACAACTTAAAAGGGATCCTTCACAAGAAATTAGTGAAAACAAGCCTGCTGTCAGTGGGCTTTTGTTCACTGTACAAAGGTCCATGCTTCTACCTGAAGTTACTTAGAGATAGACTGACAGGAGAGGAGATAGTGTTGAAAACATTCTTCTAAGTGATTAATGGCACACTGAGCCTCTAGTCAGATCAGCTTGGCTATATTAATCACCAATCACTTTATTTTCCTCCCTCTTTTTTTACCAGTAGATCCAAGGAGAGGTAATGAAAATAAACAGCTGAAAAAGTGTTGGTGAAAGTTCTTGGTAAACTTCAAGACTCTACTTGTAATTAGGTTTGTTTTGTGGTAAAGGCAAGACTTGATCTTGCCATGGCAGCCAGTTCCTTGTGTTGAGCTGTTTTAGTGATGCATTGGAAGGTCCTGGAGTGAACTGAACGTTATCAGGAAGGCCACTCACTCACACTGCATATGAAAGAGTCTGTCTAGCTAAGTGGATTTGCTAAAAATTAGTATGGAATCCCATAAATAAATAACAACTACCCCTATAACTGTTACACCCCTGTGCTGTTACTGTGAGGGGGATTTTTAAGCAGGAAAACTCTATGGAAGTTCCATAGGATTAATGTAAGTTCACTGTATAATACAGACTTCTCAGAAGTTTGTGTGGATCATAAATTTACACCTGAAGAAATTTGGAGTATGCCTTTCATGTATTGTGATTTACATTTTGAACTTCAGTCTTTGATAGTTCTCACTTTACAGTTTCTCAGATAAGCACTGTCAAAAATGAGTAGTCAGTGTAGTCAGTCACTTGCTTTGTATTTTTTGCTGATTATCTTTGGCATCTCACATGTATATTCTAAAGGCAGAATACATGATTTGTATTGTACATGCGCCACCAGACTATTGGTGTCCATATTTATTCTTTATGGCAAGATTTAGATTTATTTCTGCAACACTAATGACAGAGTTAGGGGAGAAACAGAAATTTTTTGTACTTTAGATCCTATAATCTGGAGCACTTTTTAATCAAATTTAAAACTAGCATATTTTGGAGAAGAAAAGTTGCGTTGCAGTTGTTTTAGAAGCAGGGGGGTTGTCTAGAAGGGCTATAAAATGGAGGATTTGACTTGCATGAGAAGTTTCTAGCTATGAGGTGGTGGCAAGTAGAGAAGCCTTTAGCAATTGTACTTATAAGGTACTAAAAGTTAAGCAGGGGAGATGGAGAGATACTGTCACTTCTTAGCTTTGTATCTTGCAATGAGTTCACATGGCATTCTCCCTCTTTTTTTTGCTTATAACCCACTCATCCCCACTCATGAGCCTCACTCATTTTATTGCAATTCTGTGTGAGATTAAGGATCTTTTCCAGAAATACCCATATCCAAATCCAACCTCACTAATCTGTATGCACTTTGGCAGCTTGTTTTTAATTCTAGTCCTTAAGGAATCTTAAACAAAGATTCTCCTCAAATGTTTGTACTCATAACCCATCGAAGGACTGGAGGTCACAATGTAGTTACTTTTATATCTCCAGAAGATTCAGTCAGCAGAACTAGGGAACATTAGATTTGATTTTGATATTTAAAAGGAAAAAACAAATATCTCAAAGTTTTTTACCCAACCCTGTTGTTATTTATTTTCTCTAATTTAAATAATACAGGAAACTTTAAAGAAAACAAATGGTTATTTTTTTAAAATTAAAATAAACATGATATATAATTTTTTCCAAATTATTTCTTCATATTATGATGTTACACTCATCCATAAAAATGTGTGGCTAGATATAGGTAAGAAACCAGAATCGTAATCCATTTTATTCTGTCAGCTTCTTCTTGGTTGCCAGGGGCTGTTCTCACATGCTTTCTAACCACAAAACTCTTTATTCTTGTGTGTGTAACTGTAGTGGGTTGACCCTGGGCTGGATGCCAGGTACCCACTAAAGCTGCTCTCTCACTCCCCTCTGCAACTGGACAGAGGAGAGAAAAAAAACAGTGAAGGGTTCATGAGTTAAGAGCTGGGAGAGGTCGCTTACTGATCACCATCATGGGCAAAACAAACTCCAAGTGGGGATATTAATTGAATTTATTACTAACAGGGTCAGAGCAAAAGAGTGAGAAGTAAAATAATCTTAAAAACACCTTTCCCCCACCCCTCCTTGCTTCCAAAATTCTACCTCCTTCCCCCCAGCAGTGCAGGGAGACAGGGAATGGGGGTTGTGGTCAGTTGTTGTTTCTGCCACTGGTCAGGGAGAGGAGTCCTTCCTTCCCCTGCTCCTGTGGGGTCCCTCCCCTGGGAGACAGTCCTTCATGGACCTCTCCAGAGTGAGTCCATCCCACAGGCAACAGTTCTTCCTAAACTGCTGTCCCGTGGGTCACTCCTCCATGGGGTGCAGTCCTTCATGAATGAGCTGTACTGACGTGGGTCCCCCACAGGGGCCACAAGTCCTACCAGGGAAAAAGTCCTACTTGCTCCAGCATGGGGTCCTCTCTCCACGGCCTGAGGGTCTCCAGCAGGACCCTGCTCCATCTTGGGCCTCCCACAGGGTCACAGCCTCCTTCATGCATCCACCTGCTCCAGCAAGGGCTCCTCCATGGGCTGCAGGTTGGTCTCTGCACCCTGATGGTCCTCCATGGGCTGCAGGGGCACAGCTGCTCCACTATGGGCTGCACCACGGGCCCCAGGGACCTCAGCTCTGGTGCCTGGAGCACCTCCTGTCCCTCCTGCACTGACCTTGGTGTCTACCTTGTTGTTCCCATGTTCTCACTTCCCTGGCTGGAATTTTCACCTGCGCAACAACCTTAAATATGTTCTTAACTATGTTATCACAGAGGTGTTACTATTGCTCCTGATTGGCTCAGCCTTGGCCAGCAGCAGGAAGCCCATCCTGGATCTGGCTGGCATTGGCTCCACCAAGCAGGAGAAGCTTCTGGCAGCTTCTAACAGAAGCCACCCCTGTAGCCCCCTGCTAACAAAACCCAGCCACAGAAACCCACTACATTAACCTTCTCCCATCCCTTGTGCCTTGGGTTTCAGCTCTGTAGTTGCTTTTCCGGGATTATTGCTTGCTTTTTTCCGTAATTATTGTTTCTTCTTTGTATCTGGCACTCTCCATTTTTAAAAGCAATAGATTAAACATTGATGCAGATCTGGCAAGGCACTGCTTTTACTTACTGTGAGAGCTAAAAGAAGATAAGGAGTGCAGTGAATGTGCAACTTGAAGGCCTTTTTTTTTAAAATTTTACCTCTGCCTTAGCAAAATATAGTTAAAGGCTAGTCTTACTCCAGTGTTTT